AGCTTTCAGGCTGTAAAGGTGGGAAATGTGCACACGGGGACTTGCATGTTTCTATTCATATAGGCTTATATGAGCCTTACACAAGCCTCACATAGCCTTACAAGTAGAATTAGCTCACCTGGTCGGGTTTCCCGCAGGGGTGAAATTGGAAAATTTTAGCAACTGGTTCTCTGCCCGGTTGCTGGGTGGGCCTGGCCATGGGGCCATGGCCTAGTTGGCTTCATGCACTATGATGTGGGGGGCCTATTTTCCCTCCCCAGGCTCCAGCGGCTTTCCTCGAGGCTGAAAATAGGCCCATTTCTAGACTTCTGGTATTTCCGGTAGGCCCGTTTTTCGCCTTCCCCAGGCTCTGGAGTCTTTCCTTGACCCTCTGGGAGGGGGAAAACGGCCTCTCCTGGATTCCAGAGGGTCTCTGCCCAAGCCTATCTTTTTCTTTAGATTTAATTTTGTGATTACTGATTTATTCTTTAATAATGAACCTTATGAATCTTTTTTTTTTTTTGAGTCAGAAAGAATTATGAAGTTTGGTGCAGTGGTTAAGGTGCTGGCCTGGAAATCAGGAGAATTCTAGTCATGCCTTTGGTATAAAAGCCAGCTGAGTGACTTTATGCCAGTCACTGCCTCTCAGCCCAATTCATGTCCCGGGGTTGCTATTGTGAGGAAAATAGGAGGAGGAAGGAATAGTATGCATGTTTGCCACCTTGAATTACTTATAAAAGTACTAAGGGTGAGATAAAAATATAATAAATAAATAGAGGTCTCAAGAAGGATCTCAATTCTGTGAGAGAATTTGAGAAAGCACTATTTACTCTGGAATCCTGCCTTTAAACCTGTTGTATCTCCTCTTCAGTCCACAGAAGATTGGGAAGTTGTTGTCAGTGTCAGCTCGCAGGATCTACCAGTGAGTCCACGTTGTGGCAATTTGCTGCCCTCTGAACAGGTGTATCAAGGGAGCTTGCCCCATACCTCCAGGTGAGAAGAGATGGGAGAAGAGGCGGGCAGTTTTGGGGGATACTGAGACCTCCAACAAAAATCTTTCATTTTACTCCAAATTGCTTACTCAATGGGGAGGTTTATTACAGAGTCTGCTACTGTTCGTTTTCACTGTAGGCTTCCCATCACTAATGACTGTTCTTAAATCGATGGATTAGGATGCGCCTGACAAAATGAAACAGCCCTCTGCACTAAATTCTACATTTTCCTTTGATACTCAAGAACAGAACATCTTTTTCAGCAGATAAATGTCTACAGAGAGGCTCAAAATGATAGGATGGAGCTGTGACCGCATGCACTCAACACTTTGCCTCTGTTTATGTGTGTCACATGTTAAAAAGGGATGGGACTTTGATCACCTGGATGCAGTGGCCATCTTTAAGTTCTTGACATTTCATTACCTGTTCTGACTCCCCTCGTTCCACACCAAAGCACACTCCGAGTCAGAGATAAAGTACGGCATTTAATTAACAGACAAACAGGTCCTTGGCAGCAACCTGGCAGAGACAAGCTTGGGCAGCAATAAACACAGATAAGGCTTGGCGCCTGCCAAGCTCATACACAATTATCC